CTGTGCTCGCGACTTTCTCGTATGGCAGAAAGGGTTTCCACCATCGACAACATTCACAAACGTGTCCACTGACTCCATCATCCTCAGCATCCAACATTTCGAGGAAGTCAATGCATTAGCAGCGCCACTCGCCTTTGTTTTGACAGCTTGGCACTACGCTCCATCCGCCAAATCTGTCCTTGCCAACGCCATCGCTCCTTTCACCGAACGCAGGGACGCCGCAATGTCACAGACAGAGGCCGATCCCATTCTCCTCTCGGTAAGTCTATGCGGTGGGCGAGTCCGAGTGATGCAGAGTGTTAGTCGCGCTTGGCCGCCCTGCTGACGCTGATCCCTTTGTCCGGGCAGCTGTTCGCCGCTCGCTTCATGGCAGTGGCCGAGACGATGGGCAGATCACTACAGCAGACTTCTATCTCGACCAACATCAAGGAGGTGAGCTGCCTTGTATCTCTCTCGCTGGACCACACGCTCATCGCTTGGAGTTCATCTCTGCTCCTTGTTTAGCGTCTCGACTTTAGCTGCGCACTATTCTCTCCCAATGGCGACTTGGTCGCCAACGCCCCACATCTGCCTGTCCATCTTGGTGAGTCGACTTAGCCACAGCACCGACTATCGCGCCGACACGGCGGCTGATATCCATCTTCTTCTTCGTGAAGGCTCCATGAGCTTCGCGGTGCGCTATCAGATTGAAAGGGCAAAGAGCGGAGAGCCTATCGAGGATGGGGATGTGATTCTGGCGAATCACCCCGCTGCTGGTGGAAGCCACTTGCCGGACATTACATGCATCACACCAGTATTTGAAGAGCGAGGCAAGGATCTCATCTTCTTCACTGCCAGCAGAGGGCACCATGCTGGTGAGTCTGGGCGGCTTTCACTCGACAGAGAAGGGTACAGGCGCACACCTGAGCTGTATGCCCCTCTCACCCAATGTAGATATCGGTGGCATCCTGCCCGGCTCCATGCCGCCCACATCCAAGACGTTGTTTGAAGAGGGAGCACAAATCAAGTCTTTCAAGCTTGTGCGCAAAGGCGAGTATGACAGAGATGGGCTTGTAAGGCTCATGAGCGAAGAGCCTGCCAAATACGAAGGCTGCTCGGGCACTCGCTGCTTTAGGGATGTGGAAAGCGACCTGCATGCACAGATCGCTGCCAATCGAAAGGGAGTGCAGCTCATCCAGATGCTGGTGGATGAATGGAGTCTAGAGACTGTGCAAAGAGTGAGCGTCCATTCCGTCCCTTGATTGCTTGAAAGCCTCCTGACCCCAAACTCCTCGATGGCGCAGTACATGACTGCGATCCGCGACAACGCAGCGCTCGCAGTGCGAAATCTCTTGAGAGACGTTGCCAAGCGCAATGGCACCGAGCTCTGGGCTAGAGATTACATGGATGACGGTGAGTTGCTTGATCGCACGATTTCACAGTTCCCTGCTTAGTGTACGTCTGCTCGCATGCAGGCTCGCCGATCGAGCTACGTGTTACCATCGATACGGAGGAGGGGTCAGCAGTCTTTGACTTTGAAGGCACCGGCCCGGAGGTGCAAGGCAACCACAATTGTCCACGATCAGGTCAGACACAGCACTCAAAATCTATGAGCATTGAATTCCTGCGATGCTGAATCCTTACTTCACTTATTGCTTTCTTGGACAGTCTCTCATAGCGCCATCATCTACTGCCTGAGAAGCATGGTGTCCAACGATATTCCTCTCAATCAAGGATGTCTTGAGCCCATCAGAGTCAAGATCCCCAAAGGCAGCTTGCTAGACCCCAGCGACTCTGCTGCAGTGGTCGGAGGTAATGTGTTGACGAGCCAGCGCATCACGGACGTCGTTTTGAAAGCGTTCAAAGCGGCTGCTGCAAGTCAAGGGGACTGCAACAATCTCACCTTCGGTTTGGGAGGCAGGAAGCCTGATGGTACGCATGTGGAAGGATTTGGGTACTACGAGACCATTGCTGGCGGAAGCGGTGCTGGACCAGACTGGCACGGAACCAGCGGCGTGCACACACACATGACCAATACGCGCATCACGGACCCAGAGATCATGGAACGTCGGTATCCCCTCGTCCTAAGACAGTTCGCTCTGCGCGACGACTCAGCCGGTGCTGGAAAGTATAGAGGAGGAGAAGGTGTCATTCGGGACATTGAATTCTTGATGCCGGACATGCAAGTGAGCATCCTCAGCGAGCGTCGCGTCTACCATCCGTATGGACTGGAAGGTGGGCAGTCTGCTGCTTGTGGTAAGAACCTGTGGATCAAGCAGAGAAGGCAAGCGGACGGAGATGTCATCGAAGACGACGAAGAGGAGAATACGCGCCCCCGCACCATCAATCTTGGAGCCAAGGTGAGCAGCCGCAGGGACTGCGCTGGCCACCAAGAGATTGTGCACTGATCAACTTCTTCTGCTCAACCATCTGTCTCTGTACCAGACCACAACGAAGATGGGCAGGCTGGACAGGATCGTAATTCACACGCCGGGCGGAGGTGGTTGGGGTACCCCGGACAATGAGGATGCGGCTCAGCAAGATGGCGCGCGGGACCACACGTATGGCGGCCAGCGCGGTAGTCTGGTGGAGAGACAAAGTGCTCAGCTTGGTGCTTGATCGCTTGCGTGTCATGTACTGCCAAACGCTTCTGCAATCAAGAAAGACGCCAAGGAGCCTTGAGTGATTGCCCTGCTCAGGAGCTGATCAGGATGAATGGCATATCTGCCCCTCGCCTGTCAAGGTTGAGCACTCGTGGCCAGCTGTGGGACTGAGCCGCGTGATGCTTGATGAATTCCCGTCGGTTGCTTGCCCCATCAACCAAATATTCATCATACTGCGAACATTGCCACTAGCGACGTCATTTCCTGCTAATCGCACTCAGCACTCGAGGATGATGGAATAGTATAAGCGGTCTGTACATTGATCCAGCGACGGTTGCCGGTGCGGATGCCGTGCTTATTCCTCTTGGAATACCAGCACACACGACTCCTCTCGACCAGCAACGATCAGAGACTCGTGACTCTTCTGCAGCAGCTGGTGGAGCTGCGCCCCGCGGCGAGCCGCGCGCAAGAGGACAAAAGAGCGGAGGGGCGCGCGGGCGCGCGCGCGTGCGCGGCACTCGCTCCTCTGTCCAAGCATCCATCATCATCGCTGCAAATGTAGAAGCTTCAATTTCAACATCTCTAGGACAAGCTGGCATACAGCGGTGTCAACTCTGGGCGTGCGAGACTCTCTCTCTCTCTGAGCCCCTCGCAGCTAGACTGGTCCGCCATGGTAGCCGGAACACGCTCTGGCAAGGCGAGGTCGTTGCCTGGGCGCAGCGCACTGGAAGGGCAGCTGCCTCCCCTTGTCCCACTCCTCGCCCAAAGCACTGACCAGTACAAATGGCGTGAAGGTGCCGCTGAGGGACGACCTCGAAAGATGATGACCTCGTCTAGCTCCTTTGGGATCTTGCTGACGTCGATTGCCCTCAACCTTACACCACATCACTCAGACCCCCCAGACCTGAACCGTTCGCGACTCACACACAACCCTCCTTTCGCAGCGTCGCCACCCTCAATACGCACTTCGTCAAGCAGCTCAGTCGACATCCTGACACTCGGTTCCGCAATTCAGATTGCAGTATCGTGCTCTCGATGCGACCACTGGTGCTGCCAGCTGCGAGGTGGAGCCGCACACCAGACGAGCTGCGGGAGGATCCAGCAGCAGTGTCATCCAGGGCGCCTCCTCCTTCGTATCCAGACCACGTCCACTCGCCTTCTTTGCCCCCTTCCAATGCAGCTGGTGGCTGGCCAACTCAGCCGCCTCCCACCCCCGCTCCGATCGTGCTACCCAGCACGAATGGCCCACTGAAACCATGGCTGGGACTTCGAGCACGGCTCTTCCTCTCTTTACTATCGCCAAGTCTGTTGGCCCTCATCTTTGTTGGCGCAACGATTTTGATGGGAGCGGACGATGTGGATGATAAGGTCAACGCTGCTAAGCAGAGAATGACTTCTGCGTGCGCAAGTGCAGAGGGCTCGGCAAGCGCGGCGATGAGCTTGCCAAGATATCTGGCCGATCGAGCCAATGCTCAGACCGCAGAGACCATCGAAGCGACAGTACGAGGCGTTGGTCGCGTGCTTGATCTTTCGTGAGCTTGGTCCGTCATGCGCGATCCACGCTGGCATACATTTTGATCTGACCTCTATTCATGGTGTGCTCAGCTTGACTGCCATTGAACGGCTGCTAGTCTTTCTCGTAGATTCCTATCGCTCCCTTTTCCTTTGCTTCATCGAGCTGCTAGTGCGTGGCTCCTTGAGCTTGCTCATCGCTGCCGTCGCAGCGCTCAATGAAGGTGTGCATGCGATAGCAGGCGGTCTGAAGGATGCGCTCCAGTCATCAGTCTCCGGAGTCAACTCGTTTCTTAGTGCCACGCTCGGCGGAATCAACGATGTCATTGGGGTGTTCGGACAACATGTCAACGTACCGACTATTCAGCCGCCTGATCTTGCGTGAGTCGAATGCGATCGGTATTTCGCCTGGCTGATGGGCAGCACAAGCTAATCAGCAAGATTCGCTCCACAGCGCCCTCGACAATGTCAGCCTGCCTACTTCCTTCGATGAGGGATTGCGTAGACTGAACAGTAGCCTGCCTACGCTGTCGGAGCTGAGAGCGAAAGTCGACGGGATGATCTCCGGGCCTTTTGAGCAGCTCAGAGCTGAAGTGAACACCAGTGCGTCATTTATAGCGCGTTAAGACTTGCCTTGTGCGCAATGCTGAACGCATCCGTGTACTGTCATGAAATTCAGCGGTGTCCGCTTTTCAGTTTGACAGGTCCCTTCTGCCATTGCCTGAGGCTCGCATCGCTTCTTTTTGCGCGGACATCGACATGCAGCCGCTCGACGATCTGGCTCATGACCTTCGCAAACTCGCTTATTGGGCGACAGCGATTATCGCCTTCGTTGCGCTGGCGTTCGCATTGCTGACAATGGCCATGGAATGGTGGTCTTGGCGGTCCCTGCGGCGACACGTTGAGAATACTCGAGATGCTTGGATTGCGGCAGACGGCTTTCCTTCGACGATGTCTGGCAGCACAAACAGAGATTCGAAGACGTCCAACTTGACAGGCTCTTCTGAGGCCGCAGCGCGACACCGAGGCGTGCTGACGACGCCGTCTTTATTCTCTCTTCTCCAACTCTCGTCTCACCCTTTGCTATCGTTGCTGGCCTTCCGTTTGGCTAAGCCGCTAGGGATACGGTCCTCCGAAGCTAAAGCTAGTCTGAGATGGTGGCTGGCGTGGATCTCGCATCCTATTGCGGTAGCAGCGCTGATTATCGGCACTGTCGGCTTGGCGTCGAGTCAACTCCAGATCCTGGCGCTGCGTGGAGTGCAGGAACGTTACGAAGGGGTGAGAATTCTTGATACTTCGATCAAGGTCACACTGAGCTGACTCGTGGACGTTCGTTTCGATTGGTGGACCCTCTCACTAACAACAGAAAATTGACGGTTCTTTCACCACGATGGGAGACAAAGTACTCGCTCAGCTCAATCGGGGCCTCACGGACGCAAGTCACGATTTCGCAAATCGCAGCAACGAGATGATCATTGGAGCTCAGAATGGTCTGGTGAGTCAGCTTGGATGCCGCCTCGACCGCATGTCAGCGGGCTCTGATACTGCATACTGCTTGGTACGAACAGAATGACAATCTATTTGCCTGGGTCAACGCGACGACCTCCACCATGAATAATACTCTCAACGAGATGATTGAGGGTATAGCAGGGGCACTCAATGTGAGCTCTTTCTCAAGCGTGAAGGGTTTCGTGAAGGAGGGCAACTGATCAGGGCAACACCTTTCATTCTTAGGACTCTTTCGCCTCGACACCGCTATATACACCTGTGCAGGGCTTCATCGATTGCGCCCTCCTTTCCAAGCTGAGGAGCATTGAGCAAGCTCTGACCTGGCTGCAAACCAATGCGCATGTCGAGTTCGAACATATTTCACCCGACATTCTCCAGCTCAGTCATGCTCGCTCTGATGAGCTTGTTGCACCGATCAAGCAAGCCGCTCTTGGATCGCCACAAGACCACAACGACGGCGTGGTTGGAGGCATTGTCAGCTCCTACATCAAGCATTTGCGCCATCAGCAAATCCTCTACCTCATCTTCGTGGGCTTGTATTGCCTTGCGTGGATCGCAGGCACCTGTATCGTTTTGGCGCACTCCACCAAAGGTGTCGGCAGGAGTCACGCTTACCCGAAGAGCGGCATCACTCCTTATCCATTCACTCGGCACGAACCTCCGTCTCCAGCGTATGAAGAGCGTGCGAATGATCGAGACGGCAGTGTTCGAGGCCACCACAGCATCACTCCACCCTTGCATCCAGATGTTGTAGCGCAATTGCAAAATTCGCGGAGCGCTACTTGTGGCGCAGGCGAGCAGGCAGACGCGGGAGGGCAGTATTGGCGACGAGATCAGTCACATCAACCAGGCGCAGCGACCAATCAAAGCTGGGAGTCGATTCTGGACGCTAGAAGCGCGACAAGAGCCGCAGCGCAGCAAACTCCCAGCTCGACACTTTACGTGCCATGGTTCTTGCAGAGATCACCATCGGATGCGCCAAGAATGACAGCGAGCAAGCAAAGTGTCAACTCTGTCTTGTCGCATCTTCGACCAGAGGAAGAAGCGCGAGTCGTCTGTGGCGCACGGAGCCCATCAAATTACTCTATTGAGAGCGGACCTGCCTGCAGCACCCTTGCGCATCCTGAACGAGACCCACGGGGCGTGACTCGAAGAATCAGCGACATCTTTGTCAAGGGCCTGCAATGGTGGTTCAGTGCGCCAGAAGCAAAGCAGGAGAATGACGAAGCTGCGCGTTGTATAGGCGCTAAATTGGTAGCAGATCAGAGCTCGGAAGCCTCTCCTTTGGTGGCATGCTCAGGGGATGCCACCAGCTTGCTGCCCGACGCAGCTGACGTCGATCCGGCGCGATGGGAGCAGACTCATGATTCCACGCACAACTTGCGCTTCACTGTCACTCCCATGTTGGAAGTGGAAGCTCGTCGACAGCAATCAGCGCCACGGGGCTGCACTACCGATCGTATCAACGATGCTACAGACAAGCAGTGCGCACTGTCATCGCAATCAGCTCCAGCCCATACTGTCGCGTCGCAAGGCACTCAAGATAGCGCGATCTATACGCACACGGACATTTCGCCCTCTTCTCCTCTCTCAACGTTACCCGCGCCACCGGTGCCCACAGCTCAACCGCCCCGCAAAGCTGTCCGACCCCACTCTCTGCGAGCGTCGACGACGCCAGCTTCTTTCGCTCAGCCCTCGCGCCTCTCGCTGCCAAGCGCACCTAGCAAGCCTCAAGGACCCCGGCAATTTCGAAAGCCTGTTCCACTACGCGCGACACGTGGCGCGTTCCTCAAGAATCACCTTCTTTACCCTTCGCAGCGCAGCCCGAACACCCGTCTCAGCACCATCCAGGAAAGCGCTCACTCCTCTTCGACCTCCGCCTCCTATGTTGGAAGGGTTCCTTTTCCCGCTGCTGGCCCAGCATACTTCTGACGCATCACATCACATACCGAATAATCACTCTGCGCCCCTAAACCCCTCCCCCACATCGCTCCTGGTCCTTTGTTTCGCCAAACCATCTACTTTTCTGCATGACATCTATTTTGTCGCGTCAAGCTCTCGCGACCGATTGCTTGACCGTCGTCTGAGTGATCTCATCTCATGCCGCAGGATCAAGCTGCATCCGACAAATCAGAAAGCTAAAAGGTGGAGCTCACTTCTTGTTGGCAATGACCTGGGGTGCCTTGTCACCCTGGGTGAAGCCGTTGATGCCGGCGTACACAGCCTCAGGCTCGAGCGACTCGATGCGCAGCAGCTCGTTCTGAGCAGTTGAGATGGCGTGCGGGGTCAGTGGAAGCAATTATGACCTTCTTGAACTTCATTTGCCTTACTCACAAACTTGGCAACACGCTCGCTGCGGCAAGGTGCACCAGCCTTGATGATGCCGACGCCGAGGCCGACAGAGAGAGAGGCGATGGTGGTGTCCTCGGCTGCGAAGAGGGCGTCAAGCATGTGAGAGACGAAATTTAGCCTCACGAGACGACATGAAGTCAACTCACTCTCTCCGGAACGGTGGGAGACCATGACGGCCCAGTTGTCGGACTGGGACAACTGTGCAGCTTGGATGGACTCGGAGATGGTGCCGATTTGGTTCACCTGATACACACCGGCCATGACTAGTCAGCGTCTGGGCTCAGGAGCCTTGATGCCTAGAGTTCAACTCACCTTCAGCAAGAGACCGTTGCAAGACTTCTTTTCGATGGCGGTCTTGATGCGGAGAGGGTTGGTGACTGGCAGAGGCGCAAAATCTCGGTCATTAAGAGCAAGCGGAAAGGTGACTTTGAACAGCTCGCACCTGTGAGATCGTCGCCAATGACGGTGATGCCCGAGTTGGCGCGGAAGTAGCTCCAAGACTCCCAGTCGTCTTGGTCGAAGGGGTCCTCGATGGAGGCCTAGTCAAACGCACGGCTGGCCAAGTAAGCAAAAGCTTGTCGTCATCTTTGGGGCTCGCGCATCCACCTCGGTCACTTACGATGGGGTACTTCTTGATGTAGCCAATGTAGATGTCTGCCAGCTCACGGCCAGTCACAAGCTTAGGGTTCTTCTCGTCCTTGAAGTTGAGGTCGTACTTGCCGTCCTTGAAGAATTCAGAAGAAGCAACATCGAGGGAGATGTGGACCTTGCCCTCGTAGCCGGCCTTTTTGATGGCCTCGACGAGCAATTCGAGGGCCTCGTCAGCGGACTTGACCGGTGGAGCGTAGCCTCCTTCGTCACCGATGAGAGTAGCGTCAAGGCCGTACTTGGCCTTGATCACAGACTTCAAGTTGTGGTACACCTCAGAGCCGACCTTCATGGCTGCAGCCGAGAGCACCCATCCGAAGTGAGCTGGCTTGCTGCGCGTACTCGAGCGGCAGATATGCAGACTTACCCTCCGTGAAAGTCTGCGCGCCGGTGGGAACGATCATGAACTCTTGGAAAGCGCTGTGAGCGGATAGGGTAAGCGGGTCAGATGGAAATTCGGCGCACGCCAGGGAAAGAGAGGTTCTAGCACGTACAGGTTGTTGCCAGCGTGAGAGCCGCCGTTGATGACGTTCATGGCGCTGCAGGCGTTGTTTCGAGGTGTCAGTCTACGTCTTTGTCTGTCACGCACCGGCACCACTCACGGAGCAGGAAGAATGTAAGGCTTGCCGACGTTGGACAGACCAGCGAGGTGCTCGTAGAAGGGGATGCCCTTCTCGCCTGCGCCGGCCTTAGCGGCAGCAATGGAGACACCGAGGATGGCGTTAGCACCGAGGCGAGCCTTGTTAGGAGTGCCATCGAGCTTGATGAGCAAATCGTCGATGGCCTTTTGGTCAGTGACGGAGACCTTGGCGTCGATGAGCGCCTTGGCAATCTCTCCGTTGACGGCCTCCACAGCCTTGAGCACACCTGCAGGACAAGAGAATCAATGAGCGGTCAAACATGGCGAGCGGTCGCAGGAAAGGAATGCATCGCCATGATCAGAAAACAAGAGTACAACACGCACCCTTGCCCATGTAGTCCTTGCCGCCATCCCGGGCCTCGTGGGCCTCGTGGATACCGGTGGAAGCGCCAGAGGGGACAGCAGCGCGGTAGTGGCCCTTTGCGGTCCACAAGTCGACTTCGACGGTTGGGTTACCACGAGAGTCGAAAATCTGAGTAGAGTGATTGCAGGGAAAAAGAAGGGCTAAGAGTCTCTCCTGAGGCTAAGCGGCGAAAATCCGCGCTCATGGCCTACTTACTTGACGAGCGAGAATCTTGTTGATCGACATGTTGAAGGGGCTTCTCAAGCTTGAAGGGTGGGTGATGAGTTGGACTTTTTGCTGTATGATGGTACGTTGAAGTCTGATAGGAATACGACGATATTGTCGAGACGTATGAAGAAGGAAGGGAAAGGAGATGCTGCTGCCCCAAATGGTGAATGAAGAGTCATCAGAGTGCATGCATGCAGCATTATTGGTGAGTCTGTCTTCACCTTCCTCCACGCTCACCGCGGTGGCGCCCTGTGCGCGCAGACGTTGCGCCAACACCCGTCGTGACTCACGACTCTTGTGATACGCTCGCTCGCTGCGTTCAAATTCGTCTGGATCCTGCCTCTGCGCGGCGCGCGCGGTGCTTCCCGCCTCCCGCCGCGCTGCCTGAGACGGGTGACAGGCCATTATTTTAGCTGTGAGCGTGCCCGGCCCCACCATGACTCGCACGGTGCACCAGCTCGCGCAAGCAGCTAGTAGTGTGTGA